TAGGAAGTCTGAGAGAAAGTCTCAGAGAAACTTTGACGAAATCTCTGAGAAAAGCTCCAGGAATAAAAACTTAAAATTAAGACAATTCTATTCATTAATGTATTCATTCCTGTGATTTGGCGGAAAGACTACTCTTATTTTATCAGTATACAGAATAAATAGTTCCAGGGTACTTGTAACAAAGGGAATGGCCTGAGGAAAAACAAATGGCAAAGAGATTTTCTGTCTCCTCAAAATTTCCCCCACTTTTTTTGGGAACTGCATTCTGGCCTGCATCCCTGAGGCGGATTAAGTCTTTTGTTAAAATTCACTGGTGGCGGCCAGCCCCCAGGTGGGTGGATGGGGTTCACAGCCTTTGTCTTTGGCAGAGATGGGAGGATTAGAATACATTTACACCCACCAGCTCACACGCTGACTCAGCGATCTGCTCTCCAGCTCCCAGTGCTGGCACTACAGGCATGCCACCCGATGCCTGGCTAATTTTTTCATATATTCGTTTTAGTTGTCCAGATTAACTTTCTTTCTATTTTATAGATAGAGACAGGTCTTGCGCTCTTGCTCAGGCTGGTCTCGAACTCCTGACCTCAAGTGATCCTCCTGCCTCGGCCTCCCATAGTGCTAGGATTACAGGCGTGTAGGCCTGTGGTTAACTATTCTAATCCTCCCATCTCTGCCAAAGACAAAGGCTGTGAACCCCCATCCACCCACCTGGGGGCTGGCCCCACCAGTGAATTTTAACAAAAGACTTAATCCGCCTCAGGGATGCAGGCCAGAATGCAGTTCCCAAAAAAAGTGGGGGAAATTTTGAGGAGACAGAAAATCTCTTTGCCATTTGTTTTTCCTCAGGCCATTCCCTTTGTTACAAGTACCCTGGAACTATTTATTCTGTATACTGATAAAATAAGAGTAGTCTTTCCGCCAAATCACAGGAATGAATACATTAATGAATAGAATTGTCTTAATTTTAAGTTTTTATTCCTGGAGCTTTTCTCAGAGATTTCGTCAAAGTTTCTCTGAGACTTTCTCTCAGACTTCCTAGTGTGAGTCTGCTTCTGCACAAGAGAATCGAACAATTGGCAAAGAATGTCTGTGGAAAAATGTGGAGCTTATTTTAATTTTAACGGACTTTATGTTTGCTCTTGTGAGTTTCGTGTTGCATATATGGAGTAGAGTTATAAATTCTGCAGCTAAAATTATGTAGAATGGAATTAAGTCTGTTGATATTTTGTGGCTTTCTCCAAGAGCACCGCAGACTTGAAATGCTCCACCAACCACAAGTTGTGAGAAGCACTGCTCCAGGACACCAGGTGATGCCTTGTGTTTGTGAGAGGAGAGGAAAGATCAAGAGTGAGCTAAATTTCTGAAGGCTGCCTACTTTTGAAGGTCCTTTCTGTTAGTTTTCTTCAGGTAGCTGGTTGGTGTCGAAGTGGACCTAAAGCAAGAGTTCAGGAACTATCCATGTAATTTTTTTTTTTTTTTTTTTTTTAATCCCAGCCATTTCGAATAAGGAGACTAGTGACCAGGGACAATTGCAGGTATCACCTCCAGCAAGGATGATGGTCTGAAGGTTTAGAGGGAAAGTTTGGGGAAGTTTCTTTTTAATGGCATTACAGTCAGCAGAGGTATGGAACAAGTTTATATATCCTGAACAAATTTAAGAATTTTGGTCTTACAACCCCATCTAGCCTCCTATGAGCTGGCGGTGGGTGGTGGGACTATGGTTCAGGCCCTCAGGGACCCTCCATAGTAAGGAGGTCTCTGTTGGAGGAATTGGCTTCTTACCTATCTTCTTCTGTGCCCCCCCCCCCCTTTTGGTCTCTACCTAGTGTACTGCTTATCTTGCCTCACAGAATTTACTCATTTCTACAATAGGCTTCAGGTACCGAATAGTCTCCATTCTGTCTGAAAAGTGATAGATAGTTCTAGGAAAATCTTGCAGAGGCAATGGGTGTATAGCAGCAGCTTCAGCCTTTATACTGACCACTTTTGACCTCTACACCAGCAACAAAGAACCCAAGGAATTTGTTTGTGCCCCTGAGATGGAGGGCTCTCTCTTCACAAGGAAGGAAACATATTAAGTCTATGACTTGAGTGATTGCATTCTTAGATCTGGGTTTAGAGTGAGGTGGGCTTGGAGAATTGGCCCTGGCTTCAGACTAGAGGAACTGAGCTGGTCTAGAACATTAGTGGGAGGGACGCTGAAAGCTGTGAGGTTAACCTCCTCACACTGTGCCGTGGTCTCTGACTCAGCATTCCAGGCACACTGGCACCGTGCCCTCCTGGAGTATGCCGGCTGTTGGGAACATTGCTACGCTGTGAGGCAGTTCATTTCATTTTTGGTCAGCTCTAGAAAATTCTGTCCTATTGATGAGAAATCTGCTTTCTCACAACTTCTATTCATTGTTCCAGCTTCAGTGACATAGAGCTACTCTGAATGGTTCTAATCCCCTTTCTGTAGGAAAAGCCCTTTAGCCATTAGCCTGCTTCTCTAAGCCTGCAACTCTCCTGGCTAACACCCACATTTCTTCTATTCCTCATGAATAGGAGGTCAAAACCCCTCTTTTTCTTGATTTCTTTCCCTTTGCACTCCATTTGTCCATGTCTCTTTTAAATGTGGCACCCATATCTGAAGTAGCTTTATTATAGTTATTGAGCT